ACATGGTTGGTCTCAAATTGGATGATTTCAAAAGGAGTAATAACTCATAAGTGGTACCCGTCGGGTGAAAACCTTACATCTCTGCCCTAATTAGTATGCAGGACACCTTCCAACATACAGGCAATTAGCAAGAAGAGTTAAAATACACAGGCTGGGGGTGTAGCTCAGCGGTAGAGCTTGCTGTGTGTGCTTAGCCTGCGTGAGGTGCTGGACGGTCCTGCAGCCAGGCAAGGTGGTGTGCGCCTGTGATCCCAGCACTGGGGAGGCTGAGGCAGGAGGCTCGCCGCAAGCTCAGGGCCAGCCTGAACTACATAGCAAGACCCTGTCCCCCAAAAAACCCCAAAAAGGAATCCTTGTGTAGGCAAAGGAACAGCGGGGAGCTGCCTAGGGTCCCACAGCTGGGATTCCAGCTCCACACCTGTGCTCTTCACGTGCCCACTGATGTACAGAAGGTCAGCAACTGCAGTGAGGCCACATGGCAGGCCCACCTGACACTCTGGTCACAGCCTCTGTACCTCGGCATCCCTGGGACCCGGTGATTCTTCCAGGTGGCGGTGCAGAGTGCTTAGCAGCGTCCCCAGGCTCTTCCCCCTAGGTGCCGGGGCACAGCCCCTATCCAGTGGTGACAGCCAGGTGACAGACATCCCTGTTCACCTCTTCACCACAAGAGACCCCCTCAAGCTCGCAGCCAGCAGACCAGCAAGAACCTGAAACAGAGCCCGGGGCGGCCGGGCTGGCAGCCTGAGCGCCATGACCTCGGGTGTCCCATTGGTGTCCTTGCCAGTCCGAGGCCCTGGAGGTAATCAAGGAACAGCCCCCAGGGGAGGGGATTGCCCTTTCCCTCCTGGGAGTGCCAGGACCTATTTATATGAAGAAGCTGGGAAGAATCCCTCTGTCTTCCCAGGCTGCACGCGGCCTTGCACTTGCCCCACTCACAGATCCGGGTCAGCTGGGCTGGGAGTGTGGTCGGTGGGCTCCTGAGAACAGGTCTCCACCCCATGAGGCACCAGTTAGTCCCGGAACCTCTTTATCTCCAATCTGGTCTGTTGATTGGGACCATTTTGCTTAGTGCAAAATATCTGTAGCTGAATACAGCCATGTATTGTTCTCAGGTGAGAGTCCACAAGGGTGACCAAGCCGGCTTGGTGACGCACACCTATGGTCCCAGTGCTTGGGAGCCTGAGGCAGGAGGATCTCCCTGAATTCAAAGGCACCCTGGGCTATATAGACTGTCCCTCAAAACTAAAGAAGAGGTGGTAAAAACAGATGGTAAATGTTTAAACTTTTAAACATTTATTACAATAAAGGATACATCCTTAATCCTCAAAATATTCCCTCTCACTTCAAACACATTTATCCCATCATTCTTGCCACTTTCTGAAACAGTTCGGCAAGTCTTTTTTTTGGTACCAGGGATCCAATTCAGGACCTTGTGCTTGCGAGGCGCACAGTGCCACTGAGCTAAATCCCCGGCCCTTGGCAAGTCCTCTTTCTTTCTTTTTTTGTTTGTTTGTTTGTTTGTTTGGTACCAGGGATTGAACTTGGATCCTTGCGCTTGCACAGCAGGCGGTGGAACCACTGAGCTAAATCCCCGGCCCTCCGCAAGTCCTCTTTCTTGAGGGTCCTTCCGAGGAGCGATCATGAAACGGTGATATTGCTGCCAAGTGGCACCCAGCAGAAACGCAGGCTGGTGAGACTGTCATATGTGACCTCGTCCACCTCATTCCCTGGATCTGACACTGTGGCCTCTGGCTTGTCCCCAAGTCCAGATGACCATGATGGTAGTAACAAAAAAACAGTGAGGAGGGCCGGGGATTTAGCTCAGTAGTTCTGCTGCCTGCCTCGAAAGCACAAGGTCCCGAGTTCGATCCCTGGTACCAAAAAGGAAGTGAGGAACAACCTCATTAAGGGCTCAGCATGGACCAAGAGTATGAGCTTGGAGCCAGTACAAAGGGCCCTACACAGACAGCAGGGCTGTCCATGACCTCCCTGTAGCTTCCTCAAATGGGAATAAGAAAAATCTGTGAGCTGAGCAGAGGCCTATAATCCCAGTCCCTGGGAGGCTGAGGCAGGAGGATCTCTTTAAGAGTTTTGGACCAGCCTGGGCTACACAGTGAGTTCAAGGCCAGCTTGAACTACATAGTGAGACCCTGGCTCAAAAATAAATAAAAATAAATAATAAGTGAAAATAATACATCTAGCTGGTTCACTGGATGTCTCTATACACCTTAATATTACATATATCTCATTAATACACAATTTTTTTTAGTACTGGGGATTGAACCCAGGGCCTTTGCACTGAGCTACATCCTTATCCCTTTTTCCCGTTGTTTTGGGGTTTTTTTTCCTTTTTTGGTACTGGGGATCAAACTCAGGACCTTGTGCTTGTGAGGCAGGCTGCAGAACCACTGAGCTAAATCCCCAGCCCCCTTCTGTTCTTTTTTGAGACAAGGTCATGCTATGTAGCTCAGGCTGGCCCTGAACTCATGCCGATTCTCCTGCCTCAGCCTCCTGAGGGCTGGGATTATAGTGTGTGCCACACCTGGCTCTGATAGATATATTATTAAATTATTAAGCATAGCTACTATTACCAGGGAGCCTTAAAATACCCAGTCCAGCTTCTGACTTTCCCTTTCAGGTCAGGATTTATGGCCTGGCGGGAGGTTTCATTAACCCTGGCACTGAACCAAGACAAAAACAGCCCCGGGACAGGAGGGGAAGGGAAGGAGCTTGCTGGTGTCTTAGAAAGAGTTGAGGTGCAGCAGTGACCTGACTCCGGGCACTGCTCAAGCCCTGTCCTTTGGGGAAGGCATCTCGCATGAGCAAAGGGCTGCCAAACACTGTTCGAAGAGATGGCTGGGGCTGGGGCTGGGGCTCAGTGGCGAGTACTTGTCTAGCAGGCTCCAGGCTTCCATCCCCAGCACCACACAACAAAAAATTTTTAAACAGAGCTGGGTGTAGTGGCGCACACCTGTAGTCCCAGCACTGGCCCATCACATCTGACTTCATTTTCTTTTTGTGAGACAGAGTCTCATGTAGTTCAGGCCGGCTGTGAACTTGCTATGTGGCCCATGCTGGCATCAAACTTGTGGAGATCTTTCTGCCTCAGCCTCCGAGTGCTGGGATGACAGTCATGCATCACCCCTCCCGGTGAGGTGCTGATTATTTGTACAGTGCTTGCCGCTTTACAAAACGCTTCTGGAAATGTCACACTTATCCTCAGAGAGACCTTGACAGGCGGGCATCAGTGCCACCCCATGCGCGTGGAAATAGGGAAGAGCATGGATCAGTTTAAAACTGGAACTTCTGAACCCCATAAGCATTTTCTGTTCCCTGCACCATCGCTACCAGGGCCTGCGCCAGGGAGGAGCGAGGGGCCAGTCTTTCTGTGACCTTGGCCCACCTTGCTAAGTGGTTCTCAAGCAAAAATCTGAACTCCTTTAAGAGGGAATTAAAGCTTCTAGTTTGAGTAGGTAAGAGACACACAGAGCAACGCCCTAAAGATAAAAGAAGATACACTCCCTTCGGCCTTCCCTGCCGGGCAAAACTGGGAGCACTGTTTTGGATTTTGTTTTGTTTTTGCTCAGTACTGGGGTTTGAAACCAGAGCCTTTGCATTGAGATACATCCCCGGCCCTTTTTGATTTTTTATTTTGAGACAGGGTCTTGCTAAGTTGCTCAATGCCCAGGCTGAGGTTGGATTTGTGATCAATCCTGCCTCAGCCTCCCAGAGAGCTTGGCTGCCCTGCATGCACCACCAGCTCGGCCTCTCGTGTCTTCCCATTCTGGTACATGTTACAGTGCTAAAACACTTATCAACAACGTGTGAAGTCTATAAAATATTGATTGATTTTCCTTCCTGTTAAGTACCAAAGTGGTGCCTAGCCCAGGCTCACAGATAACATGGCTTGCAGCCGGCAGAGTATGTGTGTGCACGTGTGTGTGGCAACTGACAGCAAAAGACCCCAGTGGGCACAGGGTCAACTGCAGTAAGTGCCAGGGAGTTCTCAGCAGTACTGGTGTCCCACGGAGTCTGGACCTGTGCACCTGGCTTGCAGTCCTCCCTTTGCTGCTGGCTCTCCGTGTGACCCACGTAAGTGCCCAAACCTCTGTGGGCCCAGTTTCTCCATCCATCACCACAGCCTAATAATAGTCCTTACATCACAGGCCTGGCAAAAGGACTCGGCAAGCCAAAGCTGATAAAGGGCCTGACATTAAGCACTCAATAAATATTAGCTAAAAAGTAAATCTTGAGCTTTCGATAAATATTGGCCATTACCATTCAGGTCCACAGCCCATTCCTGGACATTCACAAAGCCCTGAAAACGAGACTTTTTTCCCCCCCGAAAACAAATTTGGCGGCAAAATGTAACCCAAAGTGAAGTCAGTCGTCTTAGGAACATTCACCAACATCCCGGAGATAGTGTGGGCATTCACACAGTTTACTGCGGAAATGTCAGCGTGTCGGTTCCCGGGCGCCAGCCTGCACCTCCTGGGCTGTCTCTCTAAATTTTCTAACAACTGCCACCACTGGTTTCGACATGATTAGAGCCTCCCACTCTCTGTATACATATTAACCCTCCCCCCACGGGCCCCAGGAAGCGCAGAGCTACATCCGCCCCTTCAAATTTGATTTTAACATTTATTGATTGATTGGTCTTGAGTCAGGATCTCGCTATGCGGTTCAGGCTAACCTTGAACTCACTATGTAGCCCAGGCTGGCCTTGAACTCTCGGAGTTCTCCTGCCTCAGCCTCCGGAGCGCTGGGATGAAGGGCGTGCGCCACCACGCCTGGTTTCTCCGCCCCTTTCAATCCTTGGAGAGGAAACCTTCAACGGAGCCTCGCCCGCAGCTCCCCCGCACCGCGCAGAACCAGCGCAGCCCCTGTGCCCGCCCAAGCGCCGACCCAGCGCCCTCGCCGCCCACCAGTCCCCGCCCCCACCCTGGAGGACCTCGGTGGACGCTCTGGCTGCGCCCTCTCGCTGGTCGGGGCGGGAGTGGGCGGAGCCAGCGCCGCCCGGGCTGGGACGCGGAGGAAGGGGACGCTCTGGTCCGGCTCTCGGTGGTGCGGCGGCAGGCGGGAGCAGCGGCCGCTGTGGTCGGCGGACGTGCTGCCGAGCGCTCCCGGAAGCGAAGCAGCGATGGCGGAGAGTCCGACTGAGGAGGCGGCGACGGCGACGGCGACGGCGGGCGCGGGGGCGGCAGGCCCCGGGGCGAGCGGCGTGGCCGGGGTGGTCGGCGTGAGCGGCGGCGGTGGCGGGTTCGGGCCGCCGTTCCTGCCGGACGTGTGGGCGGCGGCGGCGGCGGGCGGGGCCGGGGCCCCGGGGAGCGGCCTGGCCCCACTGCCCGGGCTCCCGCCCTCGGCCGCGGCCCACGGCGCCGCGCTGCTCAGCCACTGGGACCCCACGCTCAGCTCCGACTGGGACGGCGAGCGCACCGCGCCGCAGTGTCTTCTCCGGATCAAGCGGTGAGCCGGGCTCGCTCCCCGCCGGTCCCGCTCCCGGTC